TCATGCAAAATGTTTAAGTTCGATTTATCAAAGGACTTTTATCTGTAAGCGTCACTGTAGATGAGAAGTTGCAAAAGGCTTTGAAAGGGCGCAGCATAACAGGCCAGTCTTTCTAGGAGAATGCTCCTCGTAGAGGACCGATATTTGCTCTTCAAAATAATGATGCATGTTATGTCTTCTTGATCTTTGTCTTGACTGTTTCAGATTTTCTGGTGGGCTCCACCAGCTTCATATCAAACAATTGGAATGCAGGGAAGGGCAAGATGTCACATGAACAAAGCGACCAAAAAGCCGTCTTTGGTGTATAAGTCACGGTAAAGAGTCAACGGATAAAATTTTATAGTTGAATAATTTAACTGAAAGTCCATCAAGGATCGTTAATAGTGATAACAGGCTGGTTGGATTAAAGAGTCGTTGAAATAAGAGCTTCGTTTTCGTTTGATGATAAAAAGGAAAAAAAATAGAGAAAAGCGTTGATAGCGTCACGGAGACTATTCCTTATTAAATGTGCCTTTGCATCGCGGGGTTTTTACCCTAGTGTGATAAAATACGATTTCAAGCTACGTTTCGATAAAACGCAGGTCTTCATGTAAGCTACTTGTCATACTATTATATTTCATATTAATACTAAATTCGCAATTTTGTAGAGACTTCCCACATAAATCACTGAAGTGTGCTGAAAACAAGAAAAGCAAAGATGATGCCGAATTTGAAGTACTTGACGAAGATAACGGGGTACGTAAAGTTTGTCTAAGCATTCGCTGACACGTTAATTCTTTAGTAAGTACTTTGAAATCTGCACTGGCTTACTATCCCTTTTTTTTTTGGTTATGAAAATACATTACACTTGTTGAGTAATGTTCTAGAAAACTCCAAAATATTCCCGACTGTTCCGTGATTTACTTCATCATACTTAGTAATACTAATACTGATTTATGAATATAGTATGACGCAGTATATATATATATATATATATATATATATATAGAGAGAGAGAGAGAGAGAGAGAGAGAGAGGAGAGAGAGAGAGAGAGAGAGAGAGAGAGAGAGAGAGAGAGAGAGAGAGAGAGTATTACCATTAAGCATAACTGTTAAGTAGAGCCCATATCAAGCAGTTGTTGTTATCTCTCGATAAGCTGTCATTAAAGCTGTGTCACATGCCACAATGCAAGTAACCGCTTCAACAACAATTACTGTGGTTTATGAAGAACGCCTATCAATCCTTTATCGCTATTTAAAACACGTAAAATATGCATTTTAAAGGCAACACTCCTTTATAAGTGTATTAATCAGGAAATCATATTCTTATCTTTTTCAAACCTTCAGATATTTCAGTTGACCCACCTATGCGCATGTGGGAATGGTTGTCCAACAAAATCTCCGAATCCTCATTGTAAGTTTAATTATGTACAATGACTTCATAGACACGCTGATTGAAACGGCGAATTCTCTTCAGATGATTTTATCGAGCACCATTGATGAATCCTCACTGACTAGGCATTTCAATCCTATTCTCGAAGTTGGAAATTTTTAGAACGCCTTAACTGTTTACTCAAAAAGTGTGTCGAACCCGAAACGGAAAAAGCAAACAAACAAACAAATAAACAAACAAAGAATATGTCAGAATTCGAAAATTAATTGTCTGATAAAGAAAATTCCTGCAAATCTTCATGTGGGCTTTTCAGAATTTTGGTCGAAAGAAAAAGCAGCGCTTTATAATAAAATTTCATGTCCATTTAGATATTTCCTTTGTTTAGACGCAGCCAATTCGAAAAAAGTCATAGTTCCAGTTGTTGCCACTGTTGGTCCTCTCACCCTCATGATCGTCCTATGGTTTGTTTGGCGCCATTTGAGGAGACAGAATAGGAACAACGACGATGGCCAAAATCTTATAGACGAACAAAACACACAACCAATATGAGTTGCAAAACATATAGTTTTCATGTTATTAGGAACCAGGATTGCCGTCCATGGATCAGAAATTAGTAAGCTTATGAATAACAACTGTAAGATAAATATTGTTAAAAGACGAAATTGGCATCTAACAAGAATTTTCATTATAGGTGTTTTTTAAATAAAATATTACCATAAGCCATTCCGTAAAAATAATACAGTTGATCATTTCTTATTCCTTTTGGCGGTCTTATTTTAACACGTTCGACACCTCTTTTTCTTAGAGGTGACTTAAGGTCTAAACATGTAGTACTCCATCCTCCGCGCTGAATTTATAATGAGGAAACTAATACGAAAAGCACATTGGAGGCGGTACCTCAGCGGTACCTCAGTAATTATTGTATTGTCTATTGGAGCTTAAGTCGCTCCTAAATAAGAATATTACTCGGCGTTTAAGAAAGTAGTTGTCCGAGTTTGTAAAATTGTTCTTTCGGTCGGTGGAATCATACCGTAACATAGGTTATATCAGTAAGCATTAGAAGCATTAGAATCTTATTGAAGTTTCCTCAAACAGTCAAACAGGACCCTCGTTTTTACGGGAAAAGGGACGAAAAAGTATTAATATATTAATTAGCGTGAAAGACCTGGCACTGTCTTGACAGTACCACCACAAAATTCGTATAGTATCAAATTAAATGATATTTTTAAAATTGATGGATGGGGGCTTAATTACTCCGCTAACGCCCCTTCTCCTCTTCCGATGATATTTACGTCCATGAAACACCTCTACCACTTCAATATAACGTCTCCTGGCTCCTTGCTAATGTATGCAGCCAACATATATTTCTTAGGAAACCGTGGCTCCAATCGCTGGGGACCTTTGACTAGTTGGCTCATTGGCAACTCTGAAGAAATGCTGGAAAAGGTAGAAAATGATTAACCGCAACACTGAACAAAGCTCAAGAAGATGAAGATAGGCGACGACTGCGACAAGACGGTCCTGACCGGGAAGGTGCCTGAATAATTTGCAATTTGCCTTAAGAACCAAAATTTATAAGGAAGGTTAGCCCTCGCTGCGCCCCTGCGAAGCATATGCGATAATCCTAGAAGCTTAATATCTGAGTATCTATTGTTAAGCTGTCTCATAGGACCATAGGATGAATTCCTCAATAGGAGCACTAAATCATCGTCCCCTTGAAAGAACTTGCTAAAAATCAAAGTCTATTATTTGCGAGATAGGGATATCCGCCATTAATAAGCTTTTACTTAGTGGAATTCTACGGATGCTACCTTTTTTACATGGTCACTAGTATTTTGGATGGAGCTCAAATTTCGTAACCAATCACTTTTGATCCATAGCAGAAGGGTTGATATTTACTACCTATAAAATGACATTACTTCAAAAGCCAAATAATTTCATTAAGGAGGAGTGTAGTTATATTATGAAGTTCTAGTGTTTACAATGCGTTGCTATTGAAAGTTATGTTACTATTGCTTGTCAAGTTGGCTTTTAAGTAATCTTTCAATTGTAAGTAATTAATGCCTGAACTGTGATTTATTTGGGACTCTGAACTAGGAAAAGTAGGCATTGTTCGGAAGGTGAGCGATTAACGCATAAACGAGTGTGCAGGAGAAAATCTAAGGTTAATGATGATATAAATTTTAATGGAAGATCTGAATTTTATTAGTAATTGAAAAGAAATTAAAACCATAACTGTACATTAAGTTAATGCCTTATCAATTTAGTCTAAGTACCAAGAAAGGAGTTTATTTGGTGCAAGGAACTAAAAGGAACTAAAAGATCCAGCTGAATGACGTTGGGTTCAGATGGCTATTGGAGCCTTGACTATAACTTTTGGAAGAGAAAATACATACGTGCAATTTCAATTTATTAATTTCTGTACGCACCAGAGAGATAATTAGTCTAAAAGTCACAAATAAAATTAAAAAGAAATCTGGCATTTGCTTTTTGTTAAGTGACATACATACTTTGAATGTGACATACATACTTTGAATTTTACTGTACACTTTGTCAAAATGAATTAGTAGTGGTCTAAGTCCGTCATGAAGCTTTATTGCTCTTAAGTTCGAGTTTCATTCCAGACCACTCAATCCCACTCGGAGTAAAAATTGCCAATTTTAGATTTTTTCACGCAGCGGACATGTCCTTTTAGTTCTTGGACTGATAGCCCCCTCAATACTAAAAACGACTCTGGAGGGGCAAAACATAGCTTTTTTACTCCCCGGAACTTAAATTAGTCGCCGGTGAGTGTCAAAGCTTTCTTAAAATTTAATGTGATTGCATATTTGACAAAGGGAATTATCCTCAACGGCGCAATATTGTCTCCTCTGCCGACATATCATATTGAATGAATTCAACCGAGAGATTCTTCAAGCATTCCTTCCTTCTTTCAGTAAGCAAAAGAAACCGAAGGGTCGTAGGTTTGCAACAGTTTCTCGATTAAATAGTTTATTCGTGTCAAAGTCACGACCATGTTTGTGTTGAATCACATGAGTATCATGAGGTTACACGGGGTTTCCCCGAAATGTCTGCTTTGGTTTATTTCTTAATTTGACCCGAGGTTCATCAATAGTCACTCATGAAAAAAATTTACAGTAGTTTATTCATGTTAAAGCCAACCTCCAAATTTCTTGGCCATGTTTGTGTTGAATAACATGAGCATCATGAGGTTACACGGGGTTTCCCCGAAATGACTGTTTTGGTTTATTTCTTAACTTGACCCAGGGTTCATCAATAGTCACTCATGAAAATCATTTACAGTAGTTTATTCATGTTAAAGCCAACCTCCAAATTTCTTGCCCATGTTGGTGTTGAATCATATGAGTATCACGAGGTTACACGGGGTTTCCCCGAAATGTCTGTTTTGGTTTATTTCTTAATTTGACCTGGGGTTCATCAATAGTCACTCATGAAATTCAATTACAGTAGTTTATTCATGCTAAAGCCAATCTCCAAATCTCTTGCCCATGTTGGTTTTGAATCACATGAGTATCACGAGGTTACTCGGGGTTTCCCCCAAATGTCTGTTTTGGTTTATTTCTTAATTTGATCCAGAGTTCATTAACAGTCACTCATGAAAATCAATGATGTTTGCGCTTCGTGACGTCGATTTCTTTCGCTTTAACATCAAAAGTTTGCTTACAAAAAGGTAGGTAGCGAGAGGACCTTAATGCTTTATTAACACAAACTACTAATCTATGACCCTCTCTCGGTCTTTTTTAGATATTGCTGAAGCATGTTTTTGTTGTTGAATTGGTCCAGGAGTCTTCTGAGCACTGCGTTTTTTCTTATGACTATTCAATTTCAAAATCCTAAAGCAAACTGCGCCGTGGCACGGTCCAAAGAGCATAGGTGCTCTATATCAGGCAAGAATACCTGCGTTTGGAAAGATCACGAAGGAAATATATATAATCTCAGTTCACTGAAAGATGAAAGGTAAACAAAACTAAGTATAAGTTTAATACAGGTCAGCCTCCTAGGATAATGAAATGTGTTCGATTCTTATTTTCTCATCATCTAGAGTTTTTGTTAGAAGAGTCTCTTTTAAGCCCGGCATCCTCTTTTATCGTTGGGTCTACCGGTACTTGTTCAACGATATATAACGCAATTGACCGTCTCTGGATTTAGAGTTCAACTTTTTCGCCTAGAGAACTCGTAAACAATCAGTAGGCTCGGAAGATCATCGCATTTATAGCTGTTTCTTTCCCTGACTAAATTATCCATTACAACATGTTCCATCCAAATGATCTTCGGTCATTATCATTTTAATTATGATGCGTTACCTATAACTTCTCATGGAGACTCAAAGTCGAAAAAATATCTTTCGCTATTCCTTTAACGAGCTCAGAAGTTGCCATATAACTTATTCTGCTAACAAATGTGTCGCTATTGACATTGCTAATTCTTACTGTGCGTGGGACGACTGTCACATTTGGAATTTGTAATGGCTTTGCTCATGGGGGAGTCTGTGGCTCGGTGGTAGAGCTTAATAGTGAAGTTCGATTCCTCATGGGGACTCAGATTTGTTTCTTTGTTCCACGAAAAAACGACAGGACGAAAAATATTGTTTGCTACTTTTGACCCGTTTTACCTGCAAATGGGTGCTTCGCATCATGAATTCTGTCCGCTTCTGTTTTTTCTACAGTTTCGACACACGGCATTCCTTCCTTCCTAAGGCGGGATCGAGGCTAGGGCTGTCCTGATTGTGCTCGATAATGAAGGAAAGATTCTCGCTGAAATAAGTTGCTAAAAAATTGCCGAAAAATCGAAAAAATTGCTACCTAAATTTCAAAAGTTGTTACATAAATGTTTTAATATTTTTGAAAATAAACGTTGATTAAAATTTTTATTTTTCGTTATTCACAATAGTTGGTAAGATCGGTGAAGAAGAAAAGCTTGAAACTTAGTTTTAAAAGAGTTGCTCGCAGATATGGAAGAAATTTATGAATACCTAATAAGTCTGAGAGAACAAAAAGCGTGGTTTATTTGACGATGCCGAACGTCATTTTAGCCGATTATCCGTTATATGACTAGATAAGGATTGCAATAAATCTGCGAAACGTTTTCAATTGGCAGGTTATGTTTCAAAAGGTTGATAAAAATTCAAGACATTTACATAAGCTGCCAGAAGATTTTCTGAAATTATTGACTTTTTGCGTGCTTGATGTGCTCTAGACCCATATTTTGCTCAAAAATTGCTCTGAATAGCGAAGATTGAGTGAGGTTTCTAGAACCACAAAAAGGTGCTCCGAACGCAAAACGTTGCTTAAAATTTGCCGAACATAGTCGGGCCTGGCCTATTCTGAAGTCGGTCCAAGATGGCGACGAAAGCTTAGAATTTGATACTTGCCTGCCAATCTCATAAAAACCCTTGGAACTACTTACTATGCGTTCTCCTTCGTCAAATGAAAGTAGCAGCAGAGGTAAAGAAGACTAAGACAGTGAAGGCAAAATAACAGGTGGCGTGCTGAAAAGTCGGTCAAGAGGAAACAGAGTAAAATTATTCAGTGTAGAATCGTGTCACGTACAGTTCTGAAACAGTCACGTTGCGTATCATTTTGCCACTAGTTTATAGGTTTTGTTTGCACAGAAATAAAGGGGGTAAGGTTCTAAAGAAACTGTGGTGCTGCGTTGGTGGGGGCGTATAACAGGGTAATTTAGTATTTTAAACTGAGTTGATAACGTATATTGGCCACCGTAAAGAGTTTCAAAGTTGACGTTTCGAGCATTAGCCCTTCGTCAGACCAATGGGCTAACACTTGAAACGTCAGCTTTGAAATTCTTTACGGTGGCCAATTTACGTTATCAACTGACAGAGTTGATAATACTAAATTGCTTTGTTTGGTTCGCCTAGGCGGGTCGTATCTATCATGTTAACGTGATCAAGATAAAATAAGAGATTTTATGGACAAGCAGGGTACTTCACCAACCTAAGGCCCCCCACCTCCATGTAAACAGGCTCCTAGTCATACCTTACATGAGATGATTATTTAAGTGGGTAATTCGGCGATCTGATATCCACTGTGTTGTATATTCGTCACTTCGCAATTCAATGCCTCCTCATATAATATTTCTTGAAATATTTCCTCAGCGACTTCATTGTAAAAGGTGTAAAGTACAAAAATTTTACGTACAGCTATCACCCGTGCAGGTGGCTCAGATTGAATGGTGCCTGTAATCGGTCATCGAAAGCAGCCGTAAGTTCGTACAGCTTCTCGTTGTTTGCATGAAATCTGGACATTTCATCCAAGATTGTACATTTAGGACCAAGGATGAAATTGAGGCTTTTTGATATGAACCTCCTGATTCTCAAATAAAAAGCGCCAAATTGATACCCGCCCCTCCCCCCCTACCCTATTTTTTATAATGTTGGGATTTCCTTAATGTTACTACGACCTTAGTTGTCCGGGGAGAGCATGAATCCTGCCTAAGATGTGGGACCGATTGTTAAATATGGCAGAGCCATTTGAGAGGCTTTATTCTTTATTCTATTCTTGGAATTACAGAATTATTTGCCTTTCACGCAATCAATAAATCTTCTAAATCTATTCAACATGATATGTTCACGAGTGCGCCAAAGTGTTACTTTGGTTTCCTACCAAAACGTAATGGTTTTTTATGATGTAAAAACTGATTAAAAAACACATTGTTATTTTTCGTTTCAGCTTTGTAAATGGGTTCCCTATCTGAGTGATCTGAATGATTTCTCTAACGAAGCACTTGGAAAGGGAAAACCAGAGTGTTATTTTAATCCTTTACGTTTGGAGTACTCTCCAGAAGAACGGTAGGTTGATCAGTTCTGTACAGAACACTTTTTTTATTCAATTGCTCATCGTATGTCAAAGGTTGGGCAAAAAAAAAAAAAAAAGGAAAAAAGAATTAAGCGGTGAAATTTGCACAGCACGTATCCAAAGTTCTTCGTTGCTGCGAATATGTAAGATTAGAGTAGGTTTTCTCACTGAACAAATTGTGTTTCCTGCGAATTTTGCTTTCGAACTTGTAGCTAAAAAGATTTGAGTTAAACATTGATTTCTACTTTAAGGTTTTTCTTACCAGTCGATGGCCATAAACTCTCAAGATTACAAGTATTATTTTCAATATCCCAAATCGTGGTGTTTGAGACATTAAAAAGCGTTTCAATCTTACTAAAATTTGCTTTTAATCTTTTTTTAGATATTGTTTGTCCGTCATTACAATTTTGCCTGAAGCTGTGTTTCCCCTCATTTAGCGCCAAGGTCCTAATTGTGTTGAGTGTCTGGGAATTACGTTACATATTGATCTCCGATGGAAAATGATTCTTGAAGCGTTTCAGACAAGCTTAAAACTACTTTAAAGTTTTTCTCTTTAAACAAAGAATGTAGGATAAACAAAGAATGTAGGATAAACAAAGAATGTAGGATAAACAAAGAATGTAGGATAAACAAAGAATATATATAAAAAATAGCCTATTTCACTTCAGTTACGTAATACACCGTTTAGGCGTGACTTGGCTTGCAAAAAAAAAAAAGGCCATTCAACTCACTGGGTATATATGCGTGTATGTGTGTGTGTGTATTAATGTATAAATATCACTAAATCTTCAGATCTTATAACCGTTTGTTTTAGTTTCGTGGGTCTTAAAACAACCGTTAGACTATTCTGCAACAAAAACAGAACTAAGGGAAAGCTTAGAGTTAAAAAAGAAGATGCTAATTGGGTAAGTACAGGTCCCACGAAATAAATAATCGGTAATCATAATTTGCCATGACTTTGGGAATGTATTTTTCTTCTAGAAGTAACATGCATAATTTCAAAGCAAGTATACGGAAACAATGCATAGCTTAGAAGGGTGGTTTCATTTTACCTAAGAAGGGTGTTATTGAAGCAAAATTTCAAAAAGGCTTAAGTTTATCATCAAAATTTATTCATTACCGTTTAACTTGATATTATTTAAAACCTTCGGGAGGCACATTTATCGCTCTTCAGTTAAAGGATTATACAATTTTTGAGTTGGTTAAAAAAAGCTTTTAAAATATGTAATAGACTACGTGATAAGCCAAAGAAAAAAATTACAGCAAAAGCAGTAACATTTTCGAGCAAACTTGCCACATGGGTATGAGTGGTAGTATGATCCTGTAGGCTTTCAGTAGTCTTTAACAATATTCGGGCGCTAACTTCGTTCAAAATCTAAACTTTTTACCACGACGTGTCTGCATAAATAGGGGAATAACTCACCCTTTCGGAAACTTACTCAGTCCTTGAAGTCTTATACGGTAAGAGTTGTCGTATTTGTAACATTGGTTGTTATGGTTTTTTTTTATAATATAGAGCACCGCTTTAAGGCTGCTCATAAGGCTTTCATGTCACAGTGTTGTCTGATCGATGTTCGCTTGTTAAGCAAACCTTTAATTTTTGCTAAGGTTGCTTATAATATAAATGAAATTCATTGACGATGGTTGTGCATATATCCCATCTCGATTGCATAACACTACGACTCGATTTTGGCGTTCGCATCTTTTTTCATCTCCGAAACCTCAGTGACATATATGACCGTTTGCATACTTTTCGTTCTCTTTTCTCTTATCTTTAGATCTTTTCTTTGGGTCACAGATGCGCATGTAAGAATGTTTGTGCCCTTAATAAAGAGGAAAAAGTTCCATCTACAACTCCAACTAGTAGGTTGAACTATGCCAGAGATATTTTTTGACTTTTTGTCTGTCTGACATAGATGTATTATTTTTGAAAGGGATGGTATTAACATACAGTTTGCTGATCTCATGATTGAACACATCTTATTCCTTAATGTAGCTGATGAGTCTCTTCTTTCTTATAAGACAGAGTTACTTAGAGAGGTTTGTGTTTGTCCGGTTTTTTAGGACCATCGAACACGGATATGGATGCTACTGTAGTGATTGCTTGTGCTGGGACCGTTACTTTTCTTGCCCTCCTATCTCATTGCTTTAGAGGAAGAGGTAATAACGACAACAATGAACAACGGCCCCTGCTGAATAACGGACTGGATCGGCCAAGAATTGAAGTAATAAACAATATGATAAAGTGACAGAACCTGGAGCGGCAGTAACAGTAAATGCCTACAACCTTCTAGTGTGCATACATGCTTATGTAAGTCGAGGAACAGCAAATTTAAGTTTCTATTAACAGTTATGAAATGATTTGGCACTTTCTGCTCATCTGATGCAATCTTGACACGAAGTACCCCGATTGATTATCGTAATCGAAGGAGTTCCATAAGATGATTTTTTGTACTTTAATCGAAATCCTTAGGAGAGCTGAGCACAAGAAGTAAATTTGCGGGGCTCTTTGCACATGTTAATGTGACTTAAGTAAACGAGTATTTTTGCAGACTCATAACCTGTAACATTAAGATGTCAATGGACAAAAAATAGCAATTTTATGTCGGCCATATTACACCTATTTGGTTGAATTGAAGGTGAAAAATAAAAGAAGGTCATTGCGGATTACCAAACCAATTCTATAAGGGGAAGGAAGACGCTTTTTCCAATTTAATGCTTATTCTTGTAGATTACTAAGAAGTTACTGTAGCTACCATTTATGGATATCATTTATCTTATCCTTGTATTGGTCTGAGCAAATTAAGGTTGTTTTTAATATTTGATGCATTTGTTACTTTATCTATCAAGGAACGCTGGTGTAAGCAAAGATCACCCTGTGTAACAATGATAATAAACGTGCAAGTTTTACGCTTTTTACTTCTTGTCAGGATCTCAATCTGTAGTCTTTACGCTTTATTTGCGTAGCGGTAATGCTCACACCTCTGTGAAGAGGAAAGTTTCTTAGACATACTTCTAAAGAATAAATGGAAAAATGTGATGGTATTATGGCTTTTAAAATGAAATTTCTTAACAGCTAAATTTCACAAGAATCCATAAGTTGCTGTGCTTCTTGACTTTCCCCGCGGGCTTGAAATTTTCGCCACACAACTACTCCGATTAAAGCTGCGGCAATCGCTCCTATCGCAACTCCCATCACGGCCAAAGTGGTTCCTGTCCCTACCAGACAAAGAAGGTACGGATTAATGTACGTAAAATTTCTTGGAAGGCAGCGGAAAGTGAACGCTCTAACGGATAACTACCTCAGGTGAAACACCAAAATAACGAGGGCGTCCCGAGACAAGAGAAACAACTTAGACACAGCTTGGAGCATATCTAATACTATTCTTCGTGTTGTCTTCGACAACGGCTTCTTTTTAAATGAAATCGATCGCTTATATTACGTCAAGTTTGATCTGTGTACTCTGAAATTAATCACTTACTATTTCACCTGTAAACAGGATTTTTTCCTTTATGATTAATTCTAACAGATGCAAATGCTTTACCGTTCTTATGATCTGTTGTGGAAGTCTTCAACTGAACTTCTGCTCCCATTGAGCCAGAAGAAGAAACCGATGTTGACTTATACAAAGCCGGGCAGCGGTTTCGACAGGCGCAGTAATGTTTAATGGAAAAAATCTGTTCACGGGAAGTAAAAAAAAAAAAAGTTTAAATGTTTTGTGGTATATGGAATGGGATGGTGTAGAATAGAATTAAAATCCCTTTGTAAGTTTTGTTGAGTTCAATTTTTGAAGGTTTTTTTTAGATTGCAAACCCCGCTATCGTAAATGTAGTCCTTTTACTCAGCCCGAGGAGAACCAGTTCTCGTTAATTTAGTTTTGTCAACTGAGTTGATAACATAAATTGACCACCGTAAAGAGTTACAAAGCTGACGTTTTTAGCGTTATCCCTACGTGAGAGTGAATGACTAAGGGCTAACGCTCGAAACATCAGCTTTGTTAGTTACTGTGGCTAATTAACGTTAATACTAAATTACCCTGTTACACTCTCCCACCGACGCAGCACCACAGTTTCTTTAGAAACTTCCCCCACTTCAGCCAGTTCTGATTAGTTTACCCATTAGAGTCCTCAAAGTTTAAAACCAAACATTCTAGAAACCCACGAATGTATCACGTCGGGAATCAAACTTGCTCAACTGCGATCAAAAGATCAAAAAGCAACTGATCTTACGACATCATACAAGTATATATACCCACGAATCCACATTTTATACAGTTGCAAACACGCGCACAGTATTTCATTTTTTCTACAAGTCAGATCTTCGCCTAACGTATACTTTGAAGAGAAGTCATATGATTAGGTATACTGACATAGTTGTCTTCATCCACGGTTTCAAAATCTGGCTCTGTAGCTGACTCATCGCACAGGAACACCACTCTGGAATGTGGATTGTCGATACTAGGATCGCTTTAAAGCAGAGGATTTTGTCAGGTTCAAAATTTTGACTCAGAGTCAGCTTTAAGAGAGATAGATATTTGTTGCCTAATTACCGTAAATATGTTTGGGAAAGCAAATTGGATCAAGTCTATCCATATAAATGTAACGAGCCCTCGCGAAAGTTATTCTAAGTTGACAGGTCACATTCAAGTGAATTGACAGTAAATGTAATTTTTTTTCTCGCATGCACATCTTTGGTTGATCCGAAAATATCCGATTAATTTCTTTTAGTCCTGGCACACGTAAGATTTCTCGAAGGTTTAAATTCTATTTCTTCGCCCAAAGAAATTCAGAGAAGCGGTTGCTGCCACCAGTTTGCGCATAGAAAAATGTTTAATTTATTATAATCTCGATCGATGCATCGTAATGACATGCTTATGGATTCCGGATCAAGATGCGAAAGTGATATCGGCAATCCTTTGCCTTTCAGTCAACAAACAAGCTTAATAGAAGGAAATCTTTCCTACTAGTAATTAGTTACATGGCAAGGAATCAGAATACAGCTTACTTGGTCTTATACACCAGCTCTATCTGTCCTTCTTGGTTTATGTCACACATGATGTCTTTTTGCAAACCAACCTCAAAGTACTCGCGCGGTTTTTCAATCTCGGCGTATTTGCAAATCTGGAGGGATCGAAACGACAATTTATTGCTAAGAACAACCATGAGCATAAAGTTACCATTCTCATCAAATAATTCAAATATCAAAAAAGAAATCGTTAAAAACCTTTCCCAAAGTAACTATGTCATATTGAAATGAACAATTATTTCATGTAGGAAGTTGATACATAGTTGAATTAAGTAATGTTACAAAAGGAAATAATCGTAATTTTTTCACATGAAAACAGAGAGTGGTCTGCAAGGAGGTATAAAAGAAAAGATGAAGAGAGTGCTACAGTTAAAACAACAGAAAACTTCACTAAACGACAGAAACAACAAACATCATTAAAACAACAAATTTTTATCAGTAACAGAAAAAAGCAAACAAAAGCAATTGTGATAACAGCAGTAACGGAAGCGTTTCAGTTTTAAGAAAAAATCAGTCAAAAGTCACAGGATAAACTCACAGCAACACCTCGACATATTTTGTGAGGATCGGCATCAGGATCATGTTCTCCCACATCTACAGGCGTACAAGGATTGTACGTGTATCGCCAACCAGGATATTTCTTGCCAGCAATCAAAAACCTGTTTTAAAAACATTGAGAGAAACCGTCTGAGTCACGTAATCCTTTCGAAATGTCAGTACACTCAGTAAATATGAGTTGTCTCTCAAATACATGGGCAAAACTGAGAAAATCCTAGGTCAAATATCTGCTTGATACAAACATGTTATCATCAACTTAAGAATTACGAAGTAATCTGGTTTTATCAACTGAGTTAATCATGTATATTTGGGCCACCGTAGAGAGTTTCTAAAGCTGATATTGGGGTTTTTGACCTCAGAGCGAATGACGAGGGGCTAACGCTCGAGGCGTCAGCTTTAGAAACTCTTTACGGTGGCCAAAATATACATTATCAACTCAGTTGATTGCAAAAATTATCTTGTGAACTGTCGATTGTACTGACAACCTTGTGTACCTTGGTTTTCCGTCTGTTCTACGCAGCGGCATCAAGCTGTAGATTCCTCCATCGAATGTCTTACAAGTACAGTTGTTGACTATAGTGATACCTTGGCCGTAACACTCATCGATGCACCATAATAGCATGAGTCCTAACAATTGTTTGATCTTCATTTTAGCCTGGAGGAAGTTGATCGAAAAATCAAATTAAACGGACTGTATCAAAGCCATTTAAATTGAGAAAAGATTGTGCGTCGGCATGAATTTGGAGGCAATTTCGGAAATAAACAAACTAAACGCGCACAAGATAAAACTCCACCTCTTCTTAGTACTGTGTTCATTCGAAAAAATAATAAAAAAAAATCTTCCAACTTAAAAGTACTCAATGGGAGGTTTGTAGTCTCGTGACAAACAACACTATTCTCAGAATTAGCCTAGGTGTCAACTGGACGATTGCGAAACTTCTCGTCGAATGACTCCATCGCCTGAGTAGAATAACAAACACATGTTTCGCAAATAGTACCATTTCCTATGTATATTTTTTATTCGATAAACGTTTTGGCTTCCTTGTGCAAAGTAAAGTACTCAGTCTGGCGTTTTTTTACAGAGATTCAAATATTTTCCACAGGGAATCGAAGATGTGCCTAAACATGTATCTTTCTGCTGATTCAAAGTTAAATTCATCTCAGGAACACGACACAGAAGGAAAATCGAATCCCGCTGGAGGTCCGATGCCAGACCTTTTAGCTGCAGAGAACCCACACGGGAAAACTACGTTCTTACGTATCAATATCTTACTTCGAAGTGAATCCTGGCTCTGCGAGGTCGCCACTAACAATTGCAATTTCCGGGAATTTCCTCAAAGCCTGCTCTTAAAAGATGTCACGCTCGATGTCACTGCAAATGAGATCAATATTTATTCTCAGAAATTCCGGATTTTGTTTCTCACATGACGACCCATGCTCCAGTCAACGGTTTAGTTCCCGGAACGATATCAGAAAATAACGATCATTTAATACGGTTATTTTTGGGAGTGATCAAAGAATGAAGTTTGTTTTTCGCAACCGAATGTCAAAAGTGATCGATTGTGAAGAAAGCATCAGCAATAACCACTAATTGCACTAATTGATCGCAAGATGTTTTGACAGCGCAACGAGAAAGGTTACTGACGTTTGTTAATAACCACCTCTAAGAGAAATATCTATATTAAATACTTATAAAACTGTTTTTTTTTCCTTTCTTTTTACAGAAAAGTTGAACTTGATACAGATAGTAAACGGGATTTAAGGGCCGAAAATTGCACGCAGAAGCTTGGTGTCACTGGATTCAGGAGGCATCAATAATTAACACTGTTTTACGCTCGCTATGTTTATCTTATGTGACTCAACAGGTCTGGCTCGTGAAAGCATCATTGTTCTGTGTTCTTGATAGAATTACCCTTTTATCTTCAATACATCATAATGATTCTTGATTTTCTGCTTTGAAAGGTGATTTCAGAAGTCAGTTGTGAGCCAACATCTGCGTTTTATATTATGGCACACTTTTGCGTTTTTCAATTCGAGTTAATAAAGTCTGCAGCGTTTCCAGGAATCATTTACCAAATACGGTCTTTTAAAAAATCCACTAAGTATCAAATATAATTATCTTACTAACAGTCGTTTTGCCGCTTACTTTTACTTAAAAGACTAATTTGTTGAGGTAAACTTGTGCATCGTTAAGATGAGCGTTATTTCACTTTGAATTATTATTACAATTGATGTAGACATCCTTATTCTGATTGCGGTCTTGCGATGGCTTGTGAACTGATAAACTTTGGTAGAGCGGAAGTTGATCATGTGATGACTAATCCAAAAACTTGTATTTGGCTTTACAGAGGTCATTCAGTTTCGGTCAGGAGCCAGCCAAAAGAAGAAGCAGAATTTTTCTCTTAGGAAAAAGCTGTTTTCCGTGACAAGGTAATAGATATGTACTTTTACTTAAGGAAACCTATAATAACGCTCAAGATAGTTAAGAGTCTATCGAATAACATTTGTTTGAACAGTTTACCATGCATTTTCTGAAAATCGCTTGTTGGTAGAAGTAAAGTGATCTATAGCCAGTTGGAAGTTTCGTCTGTCAGCTAAATCCAAAGTCATTATAAATCAATTTGACATAAGTATAGGCAAAAAGCAAGATATAAAATAGTAATCAGAGTGCTAAACCAGGATATTTCAAGTCTTGCATGTGAATAGATTCCAATAAAACCAACGGCTCGAAATCGATTAATTTGCATGCGTAGATTTTATGAACGGAAACTAAGCACTAGCGTGCCCAGGCCGATATTTTCAGCCTATTCTTCTTTGAAATTCACCTGGTGATCATTTTACAAACCATATTCAAACGACTGTTGTTTTCAGAGAAAACGTTTGACCGTTTTTTTCTGAGAATGGTTCAATTGGCCTTTATCGAGTCATGTAAAGGAACATATTCACAATGATTGAGAAATTTTAGACTGATAAGAAAGCGTAGCCCTGAACTGGCAAGGTCCTAAAACTTCCAAACAATTGGGCTTTGGAAATAAGTAGCTCCATTCCTTCAAGGACAAGCTATGTGAAATGTGAGTCTACTTGATTTCAGCTTCACTCACGAAATTCAGGTTACTTACACAACGTAATGCTTTTCATGTTGTCTTTGTACATTCTCTTCCTTCTTTAGGCTACGATGCAGAGCAAATGCCTGTTAGGGCTGATTTTTCTGTCGTGCATGAACAGATGCATTTCTCAGAGCATCAAAACAATCAATAACTGCACGTGTCAGACATCTGATGGTAGCTTTTATAGCCTGTGGCCCTTCAGAGGAACAGAAATACCATCGTATGTTAAGTTTTCTCTCTGCTTTTCATATTGTTTTTCAAGTGACGATGAAACGATGCTTTCAAAGTGATTTTCATCCTTCTATTTAAGGCTAATATCAAATCATATCAGTCATAATAATGGAGAATGGCTTGATTAAGATACATGAAGTCTCGATTTACCTTTTAGGAACAAAATCTTTATTATTATGAATTGTTCTCAAACTGATCGCTCAAGACTCGTTTATAGGCATTTCATGATCCGTCGTCTACTATGTAGTTGCTCTGTCCTTGATTCTGTTCTAAACGAGTGGGGAGCAAGAGGGGTTCTCAATAATCATGTGACGTCATCATCCTTTGTCAATAAAAGAGATAATTTAGAATGATTAAAACAACCAGGCGTGCACTCAAATGCCAATAGGAAATTAGTATAAGCTTCTCTCCCAAAGAATCATCTCCAATTCCGATAATGCCTTTGCAATTACGTTCTCATTTTTTTGTGTGGACAATAGCTTTGATGTTCCTGGAAAGAGTAGTTGGAGGTATGCTTACAATCCTTGCACCTCTATGACATTTGGACAAGATGATCCAGACCATGGAACAATATGTCATGATATCGGAGTAGGTTCATCAGACAGCCTTTCATTTCTAAAATTTTGCAGTGTTATGTTGTCGTTGTTTTTGTACTGTTATTTTAGTAGCTTCCTGTTTCCGATAATTGTAGCAAGTCAGCATAGCTAAATTAATGTCCTGCAAACTTTTTTTCTGAGTATGCCTTGTTGATTTTTCTTTCGCATCTTAACATCTTTTACAGAAATTCCAATTTAAAAATACAGGAAGCTGATTTTGATTGATAAATTTTATTTAGATATGTAAATATCCTGAAATAGAAAAACCGCGTGATTACCTACAAGTTGGTGTGCAGACAGGGGTCAGATGTGCACTAGGCGAGGAAGGAAAGATTGAGCTGGTGTATAAAACAAAGTAGGTTTTTCTTGCAAACGAATACAAGCCATTCTTATGTTGAAATTTTCTGTCAGGCGCCAATTTAAATTATGTTATGTCAAAGGGTTGCTGCATTATCAGCCGACATATCAGCCCCCTAATAAGGGGTTTATTTACTGAATACAACGATCAGATAGCATTTGATCGATAATTATTCTTCAAGTGTTGAAAATCTCTGAAATTGTTCTTGCTATTACCAAATCATAAGCAAAAAACAAATATCAAAAGTACTTAACTTTTGCAATCATCATCGCAGCGATCCCTCTATCGAACAAGAACATTCAACGGTACAGCTTATTTGTGACCAGACTACTTTATTCCCGGATTTCGAACCCAAGGATGAAGATAACTTAGTTAGTATGACTTTTTATTGTTGGTTTCTGGTTGTTGTTGTTGTTTTTTAATTCTGTTTATTTATACTTTGGAAAGGGATGTGACTCCCTCAATTCTGTATTTTTACCGTTTCTTTGGGAAGGGGGATGAGGGAAGGGGTAGTACCTGTTAAGTTTTTAGACGGTTCTGGTTGACTGTTGAACCATAGAAAATTTGACTACTACATAAGGAGCTGAAGTTCGAACCGGCATCAAAATTGTATGTGTGAATTACAAACAAATTAAAGGAAGAAGTGAAAGGAAAGATATACAATTTCGGGATATAATCATACTAATTATAATCTTCAACAGTGGTTTCATGTTTTTCCACTCCATAGATATTCACCATAAAAACAAAATGCGCATGCCCAAATCAGTGTTGGCCTGTGTCTGAGCCAACAAGCCCAACGAAAGGCAACTTCATATTCAACAGAACACAGTCCTAAAGGTAATTGCTAAGATATTTTGGACTTTGTACATTAACGGTTTTAATATATTTCTTTCCCAAGAAAAACGGACTATTATGTTCCTTTTTTGTTTGGAGAATGGGGAGGAAGGGGGCGGGCGGGGGAGGAAGGGGGTGGGTAGGGGAGGAAGGGGGCGGGTAGGGGAGGATGGGAGAAGAGGGTCTCGTTTGGAGGATTGTGTCATCGTCCTTACATCCAGAAAATAAAATCCAAGATCCAAATTTTGCATGTTGGAGGTTGTCAATCTCTATAATCTCTATGAGAAAGACAGCATTCAGACCATGTAAATGATAAACCGTCAATTCAATCAGACCTGGAATGTTTTTAGTGGTACAGTGAATGTTCATGGTCAGTTATGCTACTGTTTGTAATGATCAGTATCTCATCGATACTTTGCTTAATGCAACGAAAAGAAACTTCAGCTTTTAACTTGGGAGTATCTCTTACATTAGCTTTTTCTCAATCGTAGCCACTATTTGTATTTTCATAGCTATATTAATTATCATTTGGCAAAAACGTACGTATTTTTATGGAAATCAAAAAAATATCTGACGATTGAATTCGCTTTAGTTGCGTTAAGAAAACTATTTGTACACGTGCTCTATCATACAAAAAAAAACCCCATAAATCTGAGTAATATTTCTCTACGCCCTCTTAATTACTTTTATTTTCTCCTTCCGATAAACGTTTACCTTATGGCGTAAACGCCTCGAACATCTATTCTATAGAAGCGTGGAAGGTACTTCGTGGTTAACGTATCTAGCAGAAATTTCTTTTGTATTATGAAGGAAACAAAAAACAATTTGGACCTTAGTTAATAAAGATCTTTTGTTAATTTCAGAGTCAAAGTAGTCTGATCGGAAGCTGTACATTTTGCCATCGGATCTTGCAGGAATTTTTTGTCATCATGCTTTGTTTCCTATGCCTGTGCTGGGATATTGCTGCTGTTGGATGCTGTCATTGTTTAGGAGAGTACCATGGACTGATCGTAAAGGCAAACAAAAACGATTTTGAAAAGACAGAGACAACTAAACTTATCAAAAAACAAAAAGGGATGTGCGAGAGAATATTCAAAGGGGATGACAACAGTCGTCACGATCGGTAGTTGCTTGATCGAATGCATCAGATCAGTTTATTTGAAGGACGGGGAGTCGTTTAGGCGTTGGAAGACTTCAAAATTTAGTTTAGAAAAATTCCATTTGCCATTCATACTTTATTCTCAGCAAATTTAAAGATGCATTAAAATGGTTCCATATTCCGAGGTAATGTCTTTCACTGCATTGTTGTTCATAGTCATTCTCAAAAACATTTTTCACATTAATTAAGAAGCAGTTTCAGAAACAAGCAAATAAACGCGCACTAGATAAAACTCCTCTCTGTGGTTGCCCATTCTTAGAACTGCGGTTATTCGAAAAAATAATAAAAGCAAAATCCCTCCACTTAAAAATACTCAATGGGAGGTTTGTAGTCTCGTGACTAACAACATAATTCTCAGAATTAACCCAAATGTCAAATTGTTTATACTTGCGCAATAAGTGGACGATTGCGAAACTTCTCGTCGAATGACTCCATCGCCTGAGTAGAATAACAAACTCATTTTTCGCAAATAGTATCATTTCTGATGCATAGTTATTATTCGAGAAAGGTTTTGGCTTCTTCGTGCAAAGTTAAGTACTCGGTCTAAAGCTATTTCATAGAGATTCAAATATTTCCCATAGGGAATCGAAGATGTGCCTAAACATGTATCTTTCTACTGATTCAACCATTTATCCGAATGTATAATCCTCATTGCATGTGAGGGCTTTTTATTTTTATTTTAACCCACCATAAGATAATTTGAGATTCAAGATATGGGCTTCCCTCATTTTAGGTCATTTCTATGAAATTAAAAGTTTCAATATCCCTTGGATGTCAACCCATTCCTTGCACATTTGTTTTTTACAGACTGCAAAGGCCTAACCTCGTATTTTAAACCAATATCGACTTTTTCGCGTTGTAGGTAAAAAATGTAGCAGTCTAGAACATTTCAATGGAACTAGAGAACTAGTGAGTTAGATTATCTCTCAGGAACACGACACAGAGGGAAAATCTAATCCCGCTAGAAGTCCGATGCCAGATCTTTTAGCTGCAGAGAAATCACGCGAAGAAGAGGCTATTAACTAAGTTCTTATGTATCAATATCTTACTTCGAAGTGAATCCTGGCTCTACGAGGTCGCCACAAACAATTGCAATTTCCGGGAATTTCCTTAATCCTGCTCCCAGAAGTTGTCACGCTCGTTGTCACTGCAAATGAGGTCAATATTTATTCTCGGAAATTCCGGATCTTGCAGGACGACCCATGCTTCAGTCAACGGTTTATTTCCCGGAATGATATCAGAATATAAAAATCATTTAATAAGGTTATTTCTGGGAGAGATCAAAGAATAAGCTTTTTTTCCGCAAGCCAAATATCAAAAGTGGTTGATTGCGAAGAATACACCAGTTATAGTCACTACTTGATAACAAGATGATTTGACAGCGCAACGAGAAAGGTTCGTGACGTTTGCTACTAACCATCTCTAAGAGAAATATCCATCGTCAAGTACTTTGATAGTCTGGTTTTTTTTACTTAAAAATTGAACTTGACACAGACGGTAAGCAGGATTTAAGGGTCAAAAATGCAAACAGAAGCTTGGTGTCACTGGATTCTAGAGGCATCGATAATTGACATTGTACTTTCGCTTTGTATATCTTATGCGACTCAACACTTTTGTCTTTATAAAAGCATCATTGTTCTGCGTTCTCGCTAGAATTACCCTTTAATCGTCAATACATCAAAATGTTTCTCGATTTTCTGTTTTAAAGGTGATTTCGCCGGGCCCACAACCAAGTTTTATATTGTGACGCATTTTCGCCTTCCTTAATTAGAATTAATAAAGTCTGTAGCGTTTCCATTTACGAATTAAGGTCTTTTAAAAAGTCTACCAAGTATCAAATATAATTATCTTACCAACACTTGGTTTGCCGCTTACTATCACCGAAAAGAAAGATTTGTTGAGGTAAACTTGTGCATTGTTAAGATGGGTGTTATTTCACTTTGAATTATCATTACAATTGTAATAGACTTCAGTATTCTAATTCCGGTCTTGTGATGTCTAGTTAAGCATAAACTTTGGGTGAGCGGAAGTTGATCATGTGATGACTAATCCAAAAACTTGCATCTGGCTATACAAAGGTCTTCCAACTTCGGATCAGGAGCCAACCAAAAGAAGAATCAGAATTTTTCTCCTAAGAAAAAGCTGTGTTTCGTGAAAAGGGGATAGATATCTATTTCTACTTGACAAAAACCTACCATAACACCTAAGGTATTTACGATTCTATCATCCAGTATTATTGAATAATATTCGTTTGTGCAATGTACCGTGCATTTTCTGAAATCACGTCGGTAAAAGTGAAGTGAATGTATTGCCAGTTGGAATTTCCGTCTGCCAACGAAATTCAATGTCTATATAACTCAATTTGGCACAAGTAGAGGAAATAAAACAAGATATAAAATTGATCAATTCGCGTAGATTTTATGAACGAAAACCAAGCGTTAGCTTTTTATTGACGTGCTCAGGCCAATGTTTACAGCCTAATTGTTCTCTGAAATTCACCTTCGTTGATAAACATTTTACAAGCAATGCTCAATTAAGCTACTAATTCAACTAGGCCACAATGGGGATGATTCAACTGGCCTTCATCGATCGCAAGTCGAAAAGAACATATTCAGAATGACTGAGAAATGTTAGATTGATAAGAAAGCGTAGCCCTGAGCTGGCAAGGTCCTAAAACTTCCAAGCAATCGAGCTCTCGAAATATGTAGCTCCATTCCTTCAGCGACAAGCTATGTCAAATATAAATCTACTTGATTTCAGCTTCATACACGAAATTTAGGTTACTTACATAACGTAATGCTTTTCATGTTGTCTTTGTACATTCTCTTCCTTCTTTAGGCTAAGATGCAGAACAAATGCCTGTTAGGGTTGATTTTTCTGTCGTGCACGAACAGATGCATTACCCAGAGCATTCAAACAATCAACAACTGCACGTGTCAGACAGTTGATGGTAGCTTTTATAGTCTGTGGCCCTTCAGAGGAACAGAAAAACCACAGTATGTTAAGTTTTCTCTTCTGCTTTCCATCTTGTTTCTTAAGTGACGATCAAACGATATTTGCAAAGGGATTTTCATCCTTCTATTTAGGGCTAATATCAAATCATGTCAATCATAATCATGGAGAATAGCTCAATTAAGATACATGAAGTCTCGATTTGCCTTTTGGGAACAAAACCTTTATTATCATGAATTGTTCTCAGCACACTCGGTTACATACATTTGATGATCCTCCCTTAACTAAGTAGTTGCTCTGTCCTTAATTCTGTTCCAAACGAGTGGGGAGCAAGAAGGGTTCTCAATAACCATGCGAAGTCCCTCTTTCTCAGGTGAATTAAGGCCTGGGTCACCTTGCCTTTAACCCATATTTTTCACAAAATTGAGAATAACTTAGCTATTTTGCGAGGGATTTTTCTCATACTTGGCAGAAATGTGTATCACTACCATATCTCTCGGACTGAATTGTGGCAATTGCGCCAAATTCGTTAGTTGCTTTCTTGAGCAAATTCCCACCACTAAACACAAGGCAAATCAAAATGCAGTTATCGCTATGAATATTTGAGACGTTTTTCATTGTTTTCCCACTTGGAATGGCTGCCAAAAAAAAGAGATATGTGCTAGGCAGATTAAATCAAGTTTTGTCTCTGCGAAGCTGCTTCCTCTATCATGGTTTTCGCCCTTTACCTGGTTCCAACCGCTGTCAATGAAAGTAATCCTACAGGTTCCTATTAATTTGGAAAAAAGACAAATTAAAACTGTTTAAGAGGTGGGAATTTTGAAAACTCGCAGTCACGTATTCAACTTATTGTCCGCCATTTTGACACGCGAGTGTTCAGAAGCAATTAAACTTACATAACAACTGCTTTGGGGGATTACTTTTGTAAGTAAATTCATCTGCTTCTTGGAGAAATTGTTTCCAAAGCATTCAAAAGCCTAAATTTTGATAGACACCCTAAGTATACACATCATGATATGATAGAGGATTTATCAAGCTAAATTTAATTTCAAAATTGAATGGTATATCCACAATGAAACTTTTTTCTATGCATTTGTTACAAAACATAGTACTTTTTTCTATGCATAGGTTACAAACATTGTAAAACGCTATTGAGCTCTAGAAATGAACGCTATATTATAAATTCATGTTGCATTGTATTTGCAGTGAAGTCAATGAACATGTTGAGAGCGGTGTTTAGAAGCTTCGTAGGTTCAAAAGGGTTCTCTTTGGCTCTAAGATAGCGATATCATGCCATTTTTTGAGGAAATGAAGATAGCAAAGAAAATGTTATTACCTTCTTTCGATGTCTTCCTCTAAATTGTCGGATTCACCAGCGAAGATGGGAAAAACCGATGCAAAGCCGACACTTCAAAATGGCGGATGCCGTTCACGAACTACGCGATCTTGATTCCAAGTAACTATAGTTACTCGCGCAGTCCACGCGAATTCCGCGAACCTTGCTGGGGGGGCACTGGAGGCGAAAATCATTTTTGACCCAGGCCTTAATTAACCTGAGTTGTCAATAAAAGAGATAATTTAGAACGATGAAAACAACCTGGCATGCACTCAAATGCCAAATGCCATTGAAGTTAGTATAAGCTTTCCTCCTGGAAAATCTTCTGCACTCCTTTTGATAATACCATTGCAATTCTGTCCTGATGATTTTTTGTGTGGACAATAGCTTTGATGTTCCTGGAAAGAAGTACCCTGGTTGGAAGTATGCTTACAATCCTTGCACCTCTATGACATTTGGACAAGATGATCCAGACCATGGAAAAATATGTCATGATATCGGAGTAGGTTCATCAGACAGCCTTTCATTTCTAAAATTTTACAGTGTTATGTTGTCATTGTTTTTCTTCTGTTATTTTAATAGCTTCCTGCCTCCGATAATTGTAGCAAGTCAGCGTTGCTAAATTAATGTCCTGCAAGCTTTTTTTCTGAGTATACCTTGTTGATTTTTCTTTCGCATCTAAACATCTTTTACAGAAATTCCAATTTAAAAATACAGGAAACTGATTTTGATTGTTAAATTTTATTTAGATATGTAAATATCCTGAAATAGAAAAACCGCGTGATTACCTACAAGTTGGTGTGCAGACAGGGGTCAGATGTGCACTAGGCGAGGAAGGAAAGATTGAGCTGGTGTATAAAACAAAGTAGGTTTTTCTTATAAACAAATACAAGCTATTCTTATGTTGTAATTTTATATGAATCATATTATGTCAAAGGCCCGCTAATAAGGGGTTTATTTACTGAATACAACGATCAGGTGGCATTTGATAGACAATTATTCTTCAAGAAAAGTTAATTATTCATTAGCAAAAAACAAATATCAAAAGTACTTAACTTTTGTACATATTATTGCAGCGAACCCTCAATCGACAAAAAACATTCAACGGTACAGCTTATTTGTGACCAGACTATTTTATTCCCGGTTTTCGAATCCAAGGATGAAGATAACTATGTTAGTATGACTTTTTATAGTTGGTTTCTGGTTGTTGTTGTTGTTGTTCTATTTTGTTAATTCTGTTTATTTATACTTTGGAAAGGGATGTGACTCCCTCAATTCTGTATTTTTACCGTTTCTTTGGGGAGGGGGATGGGGGAAGGGGGAGTATCTGTTAATTTTTTAGACGGTTCTGGTCGACTATTGAACTATAGAAAATTTGACTACTACATAAGGGGCTGAAGTTCGAACCGGTATCAAAATTTCTCTCGTAGGAATTACAAACAAATTTTAGAACGAAGTAATAAGAAAAATATACAATTTCGGAATATAGTCACACTAACCATAATCTTTAACAATGGTTTCATGTTATTCCTCTCCATAGATATTCACCATAAAAACCAAATGCGCATGTCCAAATCAGTGTTGGCCTGTGCCTGCGCCAACAGGCCCAACTAAGGTGATACCGACGACAACAGGCCCAACGAAGGTATTACCGACGACAATAGGCCCAACGAAGGTAATACCGACGACAACTTCAAATTCAACGGAACACAGTCCTGAAGGTAATTGTCAAGATTAGTGTGGACTCTGTACATGAACGGAGTACAATGTTCCTTTTTGGTGCGTGGAAAGGGGAGGGAGGGGGAAGGGAGGGAGGGAGGGAGGGAGGGAGGGAGGGAGGGGAGGATGGGAGAGGAGGGTACTGTTTGGAAAGCAACAATATCAAAAGAATGGGTCATTGTCCTTACATTTAGAAAATAAAATCCAAGATCCTAATTTTGCATGTTGGCAAACATGCAACAGGGGTCTACGAGAAAGACTGTATTCAGACCATGTAAATGATAAACCGTCAATTCATTCAGACCTGGAATGCTTTTAGTGGTACGGTGAATGTTCATGGTAGGTTATGTTACTGTATCTTTTGATCTGTATTTCATCGATACTTTGCTTGATGCAACGAAAAGAAACTTCAGCTTTCAAATCAGGAGTATATTCAAGGTTAGCTTTTTGTCAATTGTAGCCACTACCCTAAAGCCAATTAGAATTGTCATTGCTATTTTAATTATCATTTGGGAAATATGTACGTATTTTTTCTGAAATCGAAAAAATTTCTGACGATTGAGTTCGCTTTAGATACAGTGAAAAAACCATTTGAACACGTGTGCTCTATCATACATCAAAAAATGATAAATTTGAAGAATATTTTTCTTCGCTTTCTTAATTACTTTTATTTTCTACTTCCGATGAACGTTTACCTTATGGCATTAACGCCTCGAAAATTCATTCCACAAAAGCGTGGAAGGTACTTCATGGTTAACGTATCCAGTAGAAAGTACTCTAATAAGGAAAACAAAAACAATTTCGACCTGAGTTAATTAAGACCTTTTTTTTAATTTCAGATTCAAAATTGTCTGATTGGAAGCTGTACATTTTGCTACCGGCTCTTGTAGGAGTTATCGTCATCATGCTTTGTTTTCTATATATGTGGTGGCATATTCTTGCTTTTAGAAATGCCCTGAATCGCAGATGCTGCCATTGTCTGGGAGAGTATGAACCGATCGTAGAGGAACAAAGAAACCACTTTGAACAAACAAAGACAACTAACCTTATCAAAAACAAAGATAAGGCTGTTGAAGACGAGGATTTTGATGTAAAAGACGAACTGGTCGAGCCAGTTCAAGAGGAAGACGTGGGGGACAAGTCCCAAACTGTTTGGAAAAATGACGTTTTATCATTAGTTTTGTAACAAAACCAAACCCCTTGTTTAGGTGTAGGGTCCCTATTACCCGAGCAAAGAGCAAAAGGCCAGGTAAAGGTTTAGCCTTCGTAATTTTTCCCGCGTTCAGCCACAAATCGCCCTCTGAACCATAAAGAGCGTCTTTGAAATCCAAGTAAGTATCATATTCTAATTCCCGTAACAAATTTAACTGTTTTCAAATAGTCTTGCACTTGTCTTCTGTTTATATATCTGAAGGGTGGGAAAGAGACAGAATTTTTCCTCGAATGTAAGGAGAAAAAATGGCGTTTGATGCGAACTGGACGGTGGTTTTTCCCTCCTTTTGCACTATCCTTGATCAAAAATCACCTTTGTAGACCTCAAAAATAAGAAGGGATATGCGAGAGAATATTCAACTGGAAGTAAAATAGCTTCGATCGGTAGTTGCTTGATCGAATACATCAAATTAATTTATTTAGAGGACGCGGAGTAGTTTAGAGGTAGGAAGACTGCAAGTTTCAATAAAAAACCTCCATTTACACTTTATTCTTGCAACGATGCATTTAAATAGCACCATTTTTGGAGTTCATGTATTTCACTACAATGTCATTCACAGCCACTCTCGAACATATTTAACACTGTTTATAATTCTGCCGTGACGATGCATTACAAACATCTGCCTGACCAAGTGAGACAAATGTGAATACAACTGATTTCCAAAGTGGCAGCGAGCGAACGTTTCTTTGTCAGGTACTTCAAATCAGTTCATTTGAAGGACGAGGAGTTGATCAGGCGCTGGAAGGATAAAAGAACTGCATATACGCCCTAAACCTAGTAACGATGTCTTCAGTACAATCTTTTGAATTCGAAATAAATTGAGTCGAGGCACACTGCCAATATCTAAAAGATTGTTAACGATCTGGTGTGAAACGCGATGAATTATTTTATGTAAAGCGTAGAAGCTAGCTGAAACATTGACTGAAACGCTGTAATCACGGTCAAGTATGCCCCGGTCTGTCATAGAAATACTTAGGGAATTTCCCGTCACAAACCTCGCATTTCAACTTGGAAGGAAATACTTGTGGACGTAAAAAGAAAGCCCCGAATAACATTGTGTTGAGGCTGTTAGTCATACCCTAAAGTAAATAAACATAACTGAGTGGGGGCACATTACGAATCTCGAAAAGATTGTTTGCGATCTAAAGTGAAACGCGAACCGTGTGAAGAGGGTAGACGTGTACACTCGGAAAAAAAAATTAGCGAGATTATCTTAGCCACTATGATTGATATGTGGATTGTATGTTGAAGAACTCCCGAGGACAAGCACAATAACAGAGCAGTGATTACTTTATACCAACTAAAGACGAACGCAAATGCGCGGCTAACCAATATGGCTGCCTCCGATCGTGGTCACAGCGTGTGTTGAAATGAACCCGCTACCTGTCCCCTGGATGTGACCATTTCGGCTTCTCGATTCAAGTTGCATTTTTAGAAGTTCAGACATGTGATTTAAGGTTATTGTTTTTATTACACCATACAAACATTTTATTTCTTTCCACGTGAGTGTTTTAGCTTCATCGAAATTAATTTTGACTTTCACTAAGTGGGGAGGGATAGCGTGCGAGACTACTTCTGTTCACGGCCCACAATGCAACTTCCGTCCACGGAATACAACTTCCGTCAACATCGTCTCCACCACAATACCTTATCCATTGCTTTCAGCATGAATGAGCTAAAAAAGAGAGCTCGACAATCGACATTTAATGTACGTCATAATACTACTTACTACTATAAAAATTCAGGCTGACCGACGCCTGTAAACTGTGGTAAACCGGGAGGCCGGCAAACCGTGCTTGAATTTAGTCTCGTTGCTATTTCAATGAACGTTTTCATGAACGACAACGAATAAATGCAACATAGTCAGGGAAAAAAGAGGACAAACTTGGCAAAAAGTTACGAATTGGCTCTACTTTACGGCAAGGTGGAGTGAAGACTCTTCAACACAACGACTAAACCATGTGATGGTTCCAATCTTTACATTCGATTACAACATGCCCCCAGCAGATCGCTTTTCCATTTGCGGTTTGTATTTCTGGTGGTTTCGGCGAGATTCAAGTCACGCCACAAGCAAGCTCGACGATTCCCCACAACATCGAAATATCTCATGTTATGCTACGCAATTTAATGTTCAGCTAGAGCGTCTGATTTTCTGCCAAGCTATTCGACGTAACGCCACACCGTTTATGCGTACGCTGTGCTATTCGACATTACCCTGACCCATTTCGCGCAACGCTGCTGCGCTGTGTGTGTACAGTGTGCCATTCGACATTACGCTGAGTCATTTGACACAACGTTACACCGTTTGTGTACAAATGCTAAGCTATTCGCAATTGAGCTAATCCATGTGACAATGTGGATCAATATCGGTATCTGGGCAACCAAACCGTCTATAATCTGGCCTTGCCATTCCTTCATTAGCTATGCTATCCTGCAGCTGATCCATACACCAGCTTTGTATTTGCTGATCTATTTGACATCCTTGTACTTTTGGTGGTGACGGTCGCCCATAAGTAATTCGTGCGCCAAATTCCTCCCGCAAAAAAATTCTACGTTCGATATCACATGAAGTCTTAAACATATAACCCTCGTCATTCATTGCTTCAGTTGTAACTTTAATTCTTATAGAGGGTGTATGTAATAGTAGAACATGTACAGTGAGCATCAATAAAATTATTACCCAGTATTACCAAGTATATCACGTTACGTCGTTTCTCAGTGCTTCTGGACAAATTAAAATTATCGCGGTATGTCTTTTGACAGAAAGACATTTTGACTTGCGCTAAGTATTTTTTCTGTTTTAATTTTGCGGGTAGTTTAATGATTGATCCGATGCTAGACTGATGCTCTGGTAGTTCTATACTTTTGTTTGCCATGACAATATATATGATTCCTGATACATGTCAGGTCTTTATTCAAGCCTGAAAGAATGGAATTTGCTCATAAAATTTTACCGAAAATGTCGATGTTGTCGAACTGAGGTTGCCGACCACCTCAGGGTAAACCAGAAAAAGGACTTTAAAATTTTTGATTAGCCAACGTTTTGGAGCCGGAAGCAACTACAATTAAATTAGAAGCCATTCTTAGAAATCCAAGCCAATTGAGGAACCTTCCTTTGCAAGATGATCTTTTGAATTGCAGCTAACTCTTGCATTATGTTGGCTCCAGCTCCTAAAGTAAATCCAAGTACTTGTTCCGGCACATTACACCGCAAGATGCAAAACCTCGCCTGAAGCGACAGATAAACGAAAGTTAGTAAGATACTAAAATTTGATGTTTTGCGAAGAAATCTTTAATTTTTTTCTCAAATTATTTAAAGTTATTGCGCCTCTTGACAGTACTTACAAAATTTCGAATTTCACTAACACAATCCCACTACCGGTTTTTCTCGAAATGTGTACGATGACCTTTTCATCACGGCGATGAGACAAAAGTTTCAAATTACTTTCATGAAATTGTAGGGTGTTCAAAACGCATTTACTTTTTCCATTCAACTTAGGATCTAACTTGAGAAAAGATTGCAGATCGTCCTAGCCAAGCCACGTAGGACAACTGCAATTTCGCATAGTCGAGGCGAAATTGATCAGCTTAGCGAGCCCACTGAAACTGCCTTCTATCGCAGCGGTGTCAATTATTGTTCTCGGGAATACGGAAAATTTATAAGTTAGACGAGACTTACCTGTAAGTTGAAGTTTGACTGTAATTCTATGAGATACCAGTCACGAACTAGGGAGTCACGTGAGATATGTGCGAGTAGCCCGAGCGATCAGTCTTTAAAGGCGAATGATTGCAAACAATAATGGGTGGGAAGTAATAAGATGAATGTGCTACATAGTCACCAAGTGAAGGGGTAGGGCACGTGACTCCCTAGTTCGTGACTGGTATCTCATAGAATTACAGTCAAACTTCAACTTACAGGTAAGTCTCGTTAAACTTATAAATTCTATTTCGACACCAGTCCTACTCACTAGTGAGTCACGTGAGACTTTAAAGCAGTGCAATTATGAGCAAAGAAAAAAACACAAACAGGTTTATTTACCAAAACTATGTGTACAAAACAACTACTGCAATATGGCTTGTCAGTCTATGGTGCACAGAGTGCACTTCAGGAAAGAAGGCAGTAAACAGTAAGCTGCCAAGTTCCCAGATTCATTGTCATAGGGAGTCTACCTATAATAGGCAGCAACTAAATAAACACAACAAACATGTGGTAATGAGTACTGGTTAACAGTAACAAATGTCTTGTAACAATCCTATGTGTGGAGGTTCTCCAATAGGAGTTGTCCATAAGCTTTACTTGATGTGACGATGGGTTTCCTGTAGAATCTCCCAAAGGTTGTCGCATTCGACCAGCCTGCGTTATCCATGATTGTAGACAATGGAACCTTACACTTTGCAGCTGCAGATGCAAAAGCTGCCCTGGTGCTATGTCCCTTAAAGACTGAGGTATCTATTCCTGACTTTTCAAGAATCGTTTTTAGCCATCGAGAAATCGTGTCAGTTGAAACTGGCTTGTGAGGCTTTTGGAAACTCACTAGCAGCTGGTCACTCCCTTTCCTAAGGTGACTTGTCCTTTTGACATATTCAGATAAGCAGACGATAGGGCACAGACGGTTGTCTGGTGAGTAGGCTGTGAATGTTAAGTCTGACACATGCTTTCCTGGCCGAGAGGTCTTCAAAAGTTTGTTGATGATGAATACACAGCTATCGTCCTTCAATACCATATTGCTAACAGAAAGCAAATGCAGTGTCTGACACCTCTGCCCTGATAACAAAGCTAAAAGCATTGTCGTTTTGAAGGTGAGATCCTTCAAAGTTAAGCCCGGAGGTGGGTGAAGGTTTGACAAGTAAGCCAGGACAGTGTTGACATCCCAAATGTTCTTGTATTTAGGGAGGGAAGGTTTCAATTTAAACACGCCTTTGAGGAAACGACACACCATGGGGTGGGTACCAAACGACATATTGTTAGCCAATGTAACAATAGATGAGATGGCACTCCTCGCAGTGTTAATAGCACTGTATCCTATGCCAGAGTCATAGAGTTCAGCAAGAAAATTAATTCCCTCCTCTACAGGGGACAAATGGGATCAATGCTCCTTGTACTACAGTTGCGTCTCCATTTCTCAAGGTAAGTAGCATATTGCTTTCTAGTGCCTGACCGCCAGGAGTGTTCCATGACTGTGGTAGCTGTTGTCAAAAGGCCTTTGCCATTGAGGTATCTCCGGACAAGTGACACAGAATCAGGTACAGTTTCTTGTGAAGTGGATGAGGTTCCTGTGGGCTGCTGGGTAGCAACAGAGTGTCTCTGTCCTTTGAAAGCTGTACTGGTGGTTGTATTAACATCTGCATTAACTTGGGCCACCACGGTTGAGTTGGCCATTTTGGAACAAGTAGAAGCCCTGTTGCCTTCTCCTCTTGAATCTTTTGAAGAACTCTTGTTATCAGGCTAAATGGTGGAAAAACATAAAATAAGTAATGTTGCCAAGACATGTGAAAAGCATTGATGGCAAAAGCTTCTGGGTCTGCTCTATAAGAGACACAGGGCGTGATCTGGCAATTGATCTTAGACGCAAATAGGTCGATGTTAGGGGTAACATTGAGCTTGGTACAAGCCCTTGCAAAGAGAGTTTTCTTTAAGCACCATTCAGTACACCTCCTAAATGTACGCGACTCTTTGTCTGCCTTTACATTTTCACACCCTGGTATACGAGCCATAGTCAGCCATATATCGTGCTTAATGCACCAATCCCATATGTCTTTAATTAGCTTGTTTAGCTTAGGGGAGTGGCTTGTACCCATCTGGTTAATAGTTGATTCAGTGGTAGTATTATCGACTATGACCTTAACATGTTTGCCATGAGTCAAAGTACTGAATGATTTTAAGGCAAAGAATACAGCTAACATTTCGAGAAAATTGATGTCCTCCTTAGCGTCTTCAACAGTCCAAAGTCCCCCAGTTGAAGAATCACTGGTTGCTGCACCCCACCCCTGTTTTGAGGCATCAGAAGTAATGGTAATATCTACTTCTCCTCGATTTATCGGGTTGGATGCAGTCTCGATTGATTCAATCCACCACTTAAGCTCTTCACCTGCTTGGCTGGATATGCACATCGTGGCATCAAAGTTCCATTTGCTAGTATTAAGAGCTATAGTTTTATCTCGTTCTAAATAGCGGTAGTGAAGGGGTCCATAGGCAACGCCAGGAAAGCTAGATACTATAAGCCCAAGGACCTTGGCTACATCCCTAATAGTAGGCTTTTTACAGTGCAACATAACAGTAGCTGCCTGTTTTAGCTTAACAGCCTTATCAGGTGTAAGGTAGACTTGCATGTTAACTGAGTCTAGAGTAAAACCTAGAAATACCAGTTTTTAAGTTGGGATGAACACCGACTTCTCAGGGTGTACCACAAATCCCAAATTGTCTAATAATTTTACCGTGTCAACCACATTTTTTGCACAATCATCCCAGACTGTCCCCATCAACCAGGAGTCATCTATGTAACCTGACAATAAGTGGCCAAGCTGTCGAAGGGTGGCAAAGACTGGTTTCATTAGCTTGGTAAATTTCCTAGGGCAAAAGGCCAACCCATTGGGAAAACATGTAAACTGAAATAACATGTTGTTCCACTCAAATTTGAGGTACTTCTGGTGTGGCTTTGCAATAGGGACCGAATAGTAAGCATCTTTTAAATCGATTGACGCCATGTAACAATTTGGGGTCATGAGCCTAACTGCTGTCCAGACCGAGTCCATTTTAAAATGTTGGTATTCAACATGCTGGTTAAAGCTTTTCAAATTTAAGATCATTCGAGATGATCCATCTTTTTTATTTGTCACAAAAATAGGCGAAATATATTCTCCACTTTCATGTTGAGTGGGTACAATGACACCTTTGTCAAGCAATTTTTTAATTTCAGCTTCAATAACTAGTGAGTCACTGATGTTGAATGTTTTCCTTTTGGAAACCAAGTTTTTTGTGGGCTGTGTGGAAAATTCAATGTACTGACCCCTAACACAGTTAAGGACTTCCGAGTCGGAAGTTAGTTCTTTCCATTTACCAAGGAAATGTGTCAGTTGGCCACCCCTGAAGCTTTGCACCTTATTCGCAAAGATATGTTTCATATTGGACTCAAACAAGACAAGATTATTTACCTGTAAATTATCAAGTGTGTCAGCGGAAATCATTGATGCTTCTTCCCTTGGTCCTGTTGTCGGAAGAAGGGTTTTTGAAGTGGCTTCGAGTTCCACTGACGGCCTTTGGCTAAAAAAGGCTTGCTTCGCCGATCAAATTTTTGGTAGTTTCGGGAAGGGTGTCCCTTCGAGTTTTTGTGGCGATTCCCAACTGCTGTGGAGCTTACTCTGTTGGATGCTCGTATATTATTCAGCTGGGTTTGCAGGTCGTTTCCAAACAGCTGAGCTGTTACAGGAACATGGGAAGCACACAGACCAGCATAATCTTTGTTCAGATGCAGTTTGAGCGACTCCCTGCGACGGTGGGACAGGTCGATATGTGCGTGCCCTAGGAGAGCGACCGCATCGGTGTTCACTTTGACAAGTTTCTGAATGTCAGAGTCTGACTTCGGCTGCTTCGAATTCTTCATTTCTAGCAGCATCCCAATGGATTTGCACATTGCAGCACCAGCTGTGGCAATCGTTTTCTGGATTAAGCTGGACCTGAGGTCCTGCTGTTTCACTGAGTGGCTCAGTTTATCCCAGATTTCAGGATTAACCCGCGGTGTTGTGAGAGTCTCACAGTTCGCCGGGCGTAAATACTTCGCCGACTTATCCTTTAGTTTCGAGTCTGGCAATTTCTTAGACCACAGGTTGTTGATAAAGTCCGCCAGTTGTTTCTCAATAGCCGGACCTGAGTCGTCTGCATTGAGAAAATCCTCTGCGATTTCTGACAACAATTGGTCATTGCTGCCATCGTTTTGCTCAAGTGGAGCACGTGGTTTATCCTTGGAAATTCCGTCGGCTTCAGTGCCACAAAGGGCCTGCAAGTCTGCATCAGAGTCTTCTCCATCGTGCTCTGAACCATCGAAGGCACTCATTTCGTCTCTGGAACAGTGTTTACGCCGTTTAGGGTCGATTTGTTCGTCTGTGTGGCTGGAGTGAAGACGCTTCAGCGACTACTGCACGGCGATCATCGAGTCTGCCATTGCTCCGAGGTTTCTGTTCACATTTTGCATCATACTAAACATGGGATCCGGGTGGACATCAGTTGGAGTCTTTTCTTTAGGGTCCGTTTCGACGGTTAAGAGTTCGTCCTCCGCCTCAGTGGAAAGTATTTGATCATGTTCGTCCGCCATAATCCAAGCACTGGAAAAATACAGGACCGACCGCTCTGGAATTACGCGCGCAACTGATCGCTCGGGCTACTCGCACATATCTCACGTGACTCACTAGTGAGTAGGACTGGTGTCGAAATAGAATAATCTTTGTGCTGTGACACTCTTCATTTGGAAAAACGCGTAGTATATCAACATATCCTAAATGTAAGAAAAAGCTCTATAGATTGAATTTGACAGCGCACCAAGCATCAATAGTTGAACTGAGGTAAGAATTTTCTTCACTAGCAACATTCACGATTTTTTAAATGATAATTGCATGTACGTGCGTTGATGAGAACATTTACCTCTCATTAATGGAGTGGGAAAGAGGCAAAGTGTGTAAAGATGCATATAAATGCGATACCGGCTTCGATACTTGGCATATTTATTTTGGTTTTGGTGCGTAAGATTACCGAGTGTAGAAAACTGAGGGAAAGAGCCACTGCGTTACTAGGATTTTGATTCCCGGAAAGCTTCTGCGTAGGAAGCGATCGATTTCGCAACTCCGCCAAGACAAATATTGCAAACAACAGACGGTGATTGCTACCATGGTATCGCTGAAGCGTAAAAGTGCATATTTACTCCATTATACGAACAAGAAGTGATTTTGAAAAGCATTTCACTATAAAAAATTGCGATAAAACATTTCTTAAAATCATTTCAAGATTAAAAAGATTGCTAAAAAGCGACGACGTTTCGACGTTAGCTGAACGCATTATCAAGTCAAAATAAGTAGTGATTTTTGGTCTATAAATACTAAAAAAAAAAACAACAATAGCTGATTAAAAAATTGTAACGTGAGAAAATATCAAACAAAGAGTTTCGCACGTATGGAGTCCGTCTGAATATTTAAATTGGGCTTAAGTTTCTTGATGAAGAGCATTTCAAATACTAAGCAATCAAATTTGCTCTGGCACTTTCTTAAAACCGTGAATTGGCTTTCTCTCAAAAGGTTGTTGTTACCATGAGCTTCTAAGAAATGTCTACCGATTGCCGAATTTTTGTGCTCAGCAATGCGTTGATGAAGGTGTCGGGCTGTATACCCGACATAATCTGCATCGCACAGATCACATGAAAAATTGTGAACAACACACTTCTTATTAACAATTGACGGCTTGATTTCTTTGGGTCTGAAGTCTTGCCCCAATTTCTTGCTCACGAAATTGGGGCAATTGCTGAGCACAAAAATTCGGCAATCGGTAGACATTTCTTAGAAGCTCATGGTATTTTTTTAATCAGCTATTGTTGTTTTTTTTTTTTAGTATTTATAGACCAAAAATCACTACTTATTTTGACTTGATAATGACGTTCAGCTAACGTCGAAACTTCGTCGCTTTTTAGCAATTTTTTTAATCTTGAAATGATTTTAAGAAATGTTTTATCGCAATTTTTTATAGTGAAATTTACTCCATTGCCTCCTAAACGACTTTAGTGCAGTTTACTAAGAGTATATTGCAGTATGCGAGTGCGATCTTAGTCAGGTTTGTCCTGCACTTCACTTTGTTCATCCGATTGCTTTTTCTTCTTCAGGCACATCTTGCCTACTATAGTGTATGTGTTTCAGCGTACAAATCGCTGCCGTGCTTTAATGTATAAGTCAGTTACAGTACAAATGTTTGTTGCTGTTGCTGTAGGAAAGTTTTTTTGAAGTGACATTTCATAACAAGTTGTTTAGGTTAAAATTTTATAAGAATTTGGGATTTTAGGTTTTGATGCTTTCATACTCAGTGGTATAGTAAAGTAGTGAAATTGTTTTCTTACTGCTGTTATTAGGTACTCAGGATAAAATGAACTCTTCTTCCTTGGTATTTACATCAGTGATACTGCATGTTATCATTTCATATATGTGTGGAAAACATGCATGTTTTGCGTACCGCTGGAAGGCTTCACCAGACAACTGTACATGCATCCGCACTGGCCTTTCAACTTACAGCTTGTTTTCTCTTCGAGGACAAAGGTGATTCATTAAATAACCATTTAAGCAAGATTAGTCATTGACTTAAGATAACCGCTACATGAAAACTTAATAAAATTCGATTTTCCTTTCTTTCTTCAATTTATAGCCAAGGTTATAGTTAAAGAGATCCTCATACCACCTAAAAATAGCAAAGAGCTTATTTATGTAGAGATGTGAGAGAGTTAAACAGGTTTTACTATCCGATAGAAAGTATAAGTAAGGGCTAAAAACACAATCATTATACGTCTACATATATAAATGATTAGGAAACAAAGTATTACGGTACATCTTCACCGCACCTGGCTGTCGTAGCTTAAACGCTTGAGGTTTATTCATTCAAAATAGTATGTTGAAGTTCAGAGATGTCAACAAGAAATGAATTTAGAGGAGGAGTGCTAATGGCTATTGCTTGGACAAAATTTTGCGCTCCATTTTCTTAATGTATCAATGACTTACGCAATGTTTCCTCAAACTATGAATACTCAATACATTCAGTTTACGAAATGTACCTTAACATTCATTTAAATCGTCATGGGCCAGCACTTAAATATATTTTCAGTTTTGGGATGGCGAAGAACTGCTCTAGTGAAGGGTTGTAGATTGATTGAATTTATCTTAATCAATTGGTATCAATTTAGATCATGACAATATGGCCATATATACACTCAATAACAGGCTGAGCTCTTTAATTTGCTTTGCTTTGACATAGAATTTATGGGTCAGGATTTCGCCAACAGCAAAGTTACACATACTCCTTCATGCCTTGTGTACCCGATAATTTGCACTCACGTGAGGGAAATTGCACAAACGTGGCAGTAAGTAATCCTTTATTTCTGGCTTAAGATTGTTTTAACTGATTTTTTTTATAATTTCCACCAATGCAGATTAGTTCGTTTCGAGCTCAAAGAAAGCGAAACGCTGGCATGTCCGAGCCCATGTAAATTTGATAAGGGATCACGAATCGACACCTGCTGTATTCGAATGTTGCCTAGTCATAGACCCCAATTGATCTTACTCAAGCAAATTCTGTGTCTCTAGATTATCTCAGACTTGTTACCACTACAACCGCTATAACATTCATGGACAAGGTCTTTTCACTGCAGACTTAATGAAGACACATTTTTTTTTCTTGAAAAGGACTAAGGCTTCCACTTATAGGTAAGTTACTCAGACGTGTAACAAAAACGCAAGTTAGGGGTTAATCATTGCTTTACAGCTTATTGATTACAAAGTTATATAAAGCCTTAATTCAATTGTAGCTATGTAAATACGACACGGATGGAATTCCACCTGTGTTCACAGACTTGGGTGAACAAGGAGATGTTATGTGCGAAGAAACAGATGAATACAGATTTGCACTAATATATCCTATAAAGTGAGTGTAGTCTTGTTTTTATTTGGTCGATTTAACCTCCCTTTTCATCGTCTCGTTTTAATTTCCGTCTATAGACGGGGTCATTAAGCTAAATAGCTGGAGTTTGAACCGAGTTAAAGATTTATCATTTTCCTTTTTCAGGAAGAGTCCTCACTCAATAAGTCACTCCAAGGTTGTTGTCGAATGCGATAATGGATAGATAGATAGATAGATAGTTTAATCTCAAATGCATTTGCAGCCCGAGGGCTGAATTACACATTTTTACAATCCAAGAAATTTAAAATTTAAAATTCAAAAACCTAATTACACGTCTTATTATACTAGCAATTTACAATATAATAACATGATAGTAAATTAAATAAAATACATTAGCTATAAATGTAAACTAATTAAAATAAATTTAAATTAATTAAAAGTATCTACATTATCATTATCATTATTATTACTATAATTATCACGCGTGCCGTAACAAAAATAAAGGATATCGTATCGATAAAAATCTAGCCATTAAACCTCCTTGCCATAGCAAATATAAAAGTGTTCATCGTTCTCGAAGTGCGAAGGCGTGGCATATTAAATTGGCGCTTATTTTTGAAGTTATAGCTGGGTTTATGTATGGGTGGAAGAAGCGCCTTTAACTTGTGGCTAGGGTTGTCTAAGATACCTTTAAAAAGCTTCTGACATAGAAATTCGTAATGTTCTAAGATGGGTCGTATTCCTAAATCTTGAGCAACCGCGCAATCACCCGCAGTTATAATGGAAATTGACCGTTTCTCAATACGTAAAAGCTCATTCTTCAGATATTGCGGAAGCGCATTATAGAAGACAGGTATCGCGTACTCTGTTACAGATCTTACACATGATGTGTAGAAAAGTACTAGGTCTTGAAAGGGAACCCTAGCTCTCTTTAGTTGCACTAAAAAATACAACCTCTTACTGGCCTTTTTGATTACTTCTGATATATGACTGTTCCAGGTCAAGTCGCTAGCTATATTAAGGCCCAGGAGCTTTACGTTACTAACTACCTCCAACTCTTTGCCTTCAATTACTATGGGATCAAAGAACCCGGGCCTTTTAGAAAATGAGATCCGAAGCGCACTTATCAGAATTCAAGTGAACTCTATTATCTCGTGACCACTCACTAACACAATCTGCTATATTTTGGGCGTGACTTTCATCTCTTTTGGTATCATCTCCGAGGCTGTTGTATCATATATATATGGATATTTCAAGGTCATTTATCATAAAACCATTAATTATATATATATTAATTCTTTGTGATCTATCAGAAAGAAAGTCAACTATCCAATTGGTAATACTAACTGGCAATTTACACTTAGTACGCAGTTTTCTAATCAGAATTTCATGGTCGATAAAATCAAAGGCCTTTCGATAATCAAATACGATTGTTCTTATAGTAGCGCCATTTCCATCAGTGTTAATTGACCAATTATGTAACATGCTAATTAAGGCCATAGTCGTGGAAGAGTTTTTTTTTTTTCAGTTTAGTGAAAATATCATGACGTAGCGCCTGACAGGCAGCACGCGTTTTTTCCTGCTCCGTGATTCTAAGCGAACTTTCTTCAAAATAACTTCCTCGAAACGACAAAGAGCACTATTTTAATCACAAGTAGATTTTTATAATATTGGCCTCTAGTTACATGGCGATGTTTTATTCAAGAGCGGCACTGAATGCCATTTTATCTTCAGTCGATGATCCTCATGCAAAACCTGTGTTAAGTCTAATAAGCGAGGAAAGTTTGGTAAGACATCGAGTTCGAGAAATTATAAATAGTTTCGAAAATAATCCCAGATTGCTTTGGTCTGGCTTTTAGTTCACTTTGTAATCGTTCTAGAAATATATATATATATATATATATTACGAATGGTCTTTATTACAAGTAATCAGTTGCTTATATATCTATATATATATGTATATAAGAGTGAAGCGATTCACATATATAGATATATATATATATATATATATATATATATATATATATATATATATATATACATATATATATATATATGTATGATCTTCTTTACCGTCTGGATATTTTTGTTACTTTCGATTTGGTTTTAAGACACTCCTTGGCTCGACATTTCATCGTTACATCCTTTATTTGGACATCTGATTTAAAAGTCTTGACTTATTGTAACTAACGAAACGTGAAAAGCCAACTATTCTTCAGAAATGGAACAGAACTTCCTGAGCATTATATGTTTCTCCTCTAAAACCTCTTTGGGAATGACATATTTGAAATGAAAACGACATCGAGGTTTTTAATGTGTTTTCTTTCGGTGATTACGTAGGTTATTTCCAGACGATAACACCTTGTTAGTTTGGTAAAAATGGTAGCAATCTAGATATCGATTTAATGGTCTTTATGACGAATAATCAATTGCTTATAATAGAAATTAATTAATATTTTCTTGTTTTATAGATATTCAGCTTAAAGGCCTTTTGCGGATGTCCAAATCAATGTTTACCACCTAAGACTAATAATACTGTAACATTCGGTGATATTGTTTCACCGACTGGGGTAACCTCAACTTCAACCAAGGCGAGACCAAAATCTACACCTGGAGGTAAATGTTCAGACTCTTATTGTTTCAGATTCAGCGTTAACAAAATCATCCGTGTTCACCTTTTGCTTGACACAAAACAAAGGCCTGGACAGTTGTAACTATTTGTGCCAAATTTCGTTCATTTGCCTATAGCAAGAGATCATTTGATCCCTTACCAATAATTATACAAGAGTGTGCTTTTCTTTTCAGGCTCTTCGTTGAGTTTGGTTGCTCTGGCCCTCCACATATTGGTACCATGTCTTGGAACATTTTTCCTCATCTTAATCTGTTTATGCTTGTGGTGGCATCATGCCACTATCAAGAATGCTCTGATGCGGCTCAGATGCTGCCACTTTTGTGATGAGCATGACGCCTTCGAACGAGTGGAAAGAATTGGGCGTGCAACAGAAAGAAGTCGTCTTTTCAGGAACCAACAGAGCTACAGAGCTGTTGGACAGGAAGATTCCGTAGAAAATGGCCCTGAGGATGGAGTTACTGGGCAGCATTTTGAATTGATTCGAAAAGGCAACAACACCGCTGTCGTATAATTCAATTCAAATTTAAGGTGTAGCACCGTGTAGTTAAGACATGATTGAACAACTTTTTACCAGTTCTAGATATCTTTGATCCCGTCCTGATAAATTAAGTAAACGTATCACGATTTCTCGTTAGTTTCTATTCTCACCAATTATTGTAAGAGCCCAAGGAGAATTATTAATTCCTTTCTTAAATATTTGGAAGGATTCAAGTTGTCAAAGGGAGATGGCTTAAGTTCTGCTCTGGAAAAGGTCTTATTTTCATAACTTGAGAACTAATTAATTGCATTTCCAGGAGTGATTTTCTTCTAGATATCTCGATTTAAGAAAAAAGATTTACAAGAAAGATTCCAATTAGAATTGAGTAAGAAGAGAATTCGTTGTTTTTCCTCTCGCCCTCAAACATTTTAACGGAAGTTATGACCGGAAGATCTCAGTGTCAATGGATGATAAATAATAGTGAGAGTAAGCGTAAAAACGAAGAAAAAAAATCAGTACAGTCGAACCTCGATTATCCGGACCCCGATTATCCGGACTATTCGATTATCCGGACTTTCTTCTCTGGTCCCAATTTTTCCATGAATATTAATTAGTTGTGATCTTGAAAACTCAAAGTCGCAAAAAGCCCAATAATCCTTTCAAAAGACTGTTGAAACAGCGTATTATCCTGTGCGCTTTTCAAAATTCGAAAGTGCGACGAGACAAAGAAATATTCTGATGCGTTCAGCTGAAATATGGTTGGCTCAATTGTTTTGTTGCCAAGGGAATTTCATGCTTGTTTAGTTCCTTCCGCGTGGGTTATGTAAACACACGAGCGATCGATCGTAAACTCAAATCAAAAACCTGCCTACGAAGCGAAAGCTAGCCGTTCTATTGATTAAAGATAAGCAGATAATTATTTCACATTTCTATCTCATTAGTATTCATATTTTCGATTATCCGGACTCTTGATTATCCGGACTATTTACCGAGGTTCCGATGAGTCCGGATAATCGAGGTTCGACTGCACTTCTTGTTTGTACTTGCTTAACTCCAAATACCTGAGGATTTGCGAAACCTTTTCATGGTCTGAACAGAAACACTCTATAGCGGAGGTAGGGCCAACCAGTCATTCTAACATTCCCCAAACAATATCTCTCAGCAAATTTATAGTCATCGATATAAAACCTCTTTGTCCATTATTTTAACAGAACCACGTCAGAAAGCTTTTTCTCATAACCGAAAGCTTTATCATCAGCGCTTTAAGCTCAACCTCAGCCATGCTGTCTTCCGAAAACCAAAATTTCTAACAGAACCTTTACGTGACCTAATATGTGTCACACGAGTGATACCAATAAATAGTATCAGCTTAATTCTCGGAAAATCATGATGAAACAGCTATACGTGACGACAGATAGGTCAGCAGAGTACTTGCATTTTATACCTTGAATATTTTCTGATATCTTGTCCACATAAAAGTCCTATTCTCTCTCTGAGGTGACGTTGAAAATCAATCAAGTAAGTCATCTATCTAAGTAGCAGTTTACTCTTTTTAGTCAGTGCCATGGTACGGACAGTTTATAGGAAGGTGTTACTGCAATACTGAAACGAAAATTTAAATATTCAAGGGCGGAAGTTAGTCATGTGTTGAATCAAATATTCATCTTTAACAGAGAACTTAAGAACTTTCCTGCAGCAGGTTTTTAACACAGGTTAACGATCAAACTTGAGCAGGGCACACAAGGAATCGAACTCAAGCTAACTGTTTATTGCAGTTAAAAAGTGAATGCGCCCGCGGAGTTCAGCTGGTTTTAGGGCTCGGCATATTGACAGAGTGAGAGAGGGTTCAGTGGATTCCATACGCTGTGCTACTACAAAACATCCTGTTGAACTATGATTTCACTTTGTAGTTAATAGATGCAAAATATATGAGTAAAGACTGCCAATCGATCCGGATCGAAAGGCGATAAATAGATATGAGATTCTCTGTATTGCTTTTCTCTGCCTCGTGAAATCGAAAGCGAACGCGAAATTTCAATGTCACGCTATCGAAAACCGTTGTGTTCTTGATGCCAAGCTCCAGGGACATGGTAGAATATCGATGAATAGCCAAGTCCTAACAATTTTCCATTGATTAGCTGTTAGCAAAGAAGGCTTATACAAATTTCAACGGCTTTGTTATCTTACATTTATTTGTGCCCTGGGGGCTGGAACACATTCACTTTAATACATTTTCCCAAAAAGCAACTAACTTATCAATCTTTTGCTCTCTAATATTCTACGATTTTATCGATGGGTTCAGTTTGTACAAAATTACTTGGAGCATTTACCGTAATCCTTTAACTCTTAACTTTAACTCTCCTCTTTGGCCGCTTAAAAAATTCTATTTTAAATTAGCTAAGAGAATTTAGTTTTAGATCAAATGAACAACTTCTTACTAATAAGTATGAGTATTCTCATTATCTTTTGGCTGGGTAATGTATGGATCAGCTAGAAGTTACGTGTTAATCACCCCTGGGAATTAAAGGGTTAATATTATGATTGACTACTACGAGCTTAAATTTTGGTGTTTTTACTAATTGTAATGTTGTGGATTTTAAAACGTGTCAGTCACTTGCCGTGTACAATGTTTTGGTTTTTTATTGTCTTTCCTCCTGCTCTCAGGATAAGATGACTCCACCCATCTTGATATCTGCACCAGTGGTAGTACACGTTATCATTTCTTTTATGTCGAAAGGATGTTTCTGTTATGTTTGGGATGCGTTGCCAGATAATTGTACTTGCGCTCGAAAAGGCCATCCAACTTACAGTTTATT